TGTGTTGTTAATGTAGAAAGCCATTCTTCTTTTGTCCATGGTTTATTGTATGTTAAATATTCCATCTGTGGCCATTTACATTCTGTTCATGCTCATTTCTCCATAGGAGAAACACATGCCATTGAATTGGCACCATGAGGACCTGTGCCTGTCTCCTGAATGACAGAATCATGGTGGATTGGGGGTGCTGTGTGTGTGTGTGTGTGTGTGTGTGTGTGTGTGTGTGTGTGTAGAAGTGGGTGTGTGTAGTGTATGTGTGTGTGGTGTGTGTGTGGTCTGTGGTATATGTGCATGTGTGTGGTATGTGTGGTGTGTGTGTGTGTGTGTCCTATGTCATTGATCCTCTAAGGATATTTGTCACTTTAACCACTATGGAAATTAATGCAATGACAAGGACAATTAGTGTTTCAATGCTTGCTAATACCACCAGTTCTTTTGATTAGTGAGTCAGTCTAGGGAGGTTCCACTGTATGGGGGCCTGTACCAGGTACTGGGGATTTAGAATGAGGAAAAGCACACAGCCTGTGGTGTTCAGTGTACATAGTATAAATGGAATGTGCAGATACACATAGAAGCAGTGCCCGAAGAGATACAGAAGAAATGCAAATAATCTGTCCAAGGACTTGCTAACCAGATGATTTATTATCTATTTTACTAGATTAGCATTTAAGCTTCCTAAGGAGAAATTTTTTCTTAATTGATCTGTCATCACTTACAAGTGAAAAAAATAAAAATAAAAGAATTTCATTTCTGTAGGATAACAGTGAAATATTATAAACTACTTGCCAATTGTGGGAATTTTTCACATTTTAGTGATGATACAAATGAACTGGGGGAATAATTTGCTCTTTTAGAATATCAGTATGCAAATCAACCCTTTATCATGAGCTAAACTGAATTCGATAAATTGTTGCAGGTAGATATCTGCTCAGTGAAGCCTGTGTTTATTTGGTTTCCATTTTGGAAAAAAGTTTTTTCTTCCAAATAAAAGTACATCTGCTATATGCTAGCTATGAACAATTCACTTAAGCATTTTGTATGAGTTTTGTGATCTGTAAAATGAATAGACTGTTAGATTTAATACATGCTCAGTGCTAAACAGTGGTAAGACCTTAGTAAGCACTTTTTAAGGGTGTCTGCCCTTGCTGTTTTTTCTGCTGTTAGGAGTGTTTTCATATTATTAATGAGAACTTCCAGGAGTTACCAAAATACTCTTTGGTGAATTTGTTTTTTTGACAACATTGCAGACATGCATGTGAGTTACCACAAAATAGAACTATAATAGAAACATATTCCCAAAGCTGCAAAGAATTTTACAATCATTACCTCCCTGGTCCATTTTTCAGAAGTAGTCACTACCTAAAAGCATTGTGGAAAATGAACTGTCCTTTTAAAAAAATAAAATAAAAAAATAAAGGATCTGTGAATATAAACACATTTGTACCAAACTCAGCATGGTTGTTTTTATCTGATCGCTGTATAACTAAAGACGAAGAATGAAATAAGCATGCTCTATAGGTTAATTATTATAAAGTACAGCAATGTACCAATGCATTTTAGTAGAAGTTAATTTAATTTTTTAGCACTAGCTCTACTCATGTACAGGTGTGTGGACATAACTAAGATAATGTGCAAATATAAATGTGTCTAGGTTGGACATTGTGCTCATTGCAAATTTGCACAGTATCTTCCAACCTGAATTCCAAGAAGTTCTGTAGACTCTCATTTCAGGGGTGTTAACCTCCTGCCACCTCTTCCTGACACAATGCCTCCAAGCCCATGCAGAAACCCAGCTACTATGTGCCCCAGGTGCTGCTGACCTTCACCCAGGTGTGGTCTACAAAGCACCAGAGAATACTGATGTAGGGCCCTCTTCCCACCTGCCTGACCCCAACCTCCCATCTGGATCTTGGCTTGCTTGCTCTCTACTTGGATTCTATCAAAAGTTGCCACAGGGAACTGTGCTGGAAAGGGCTTCCCTGTGCACTGCAATTGAGGTTGGTGACACCTGCCCATCAGTGCTCCTTGGAAATGCCCTTCATTAACAGTGTTCAGGAGTTCAGCATCTGGAAAATGTCTGTGACAGAGTGCTTCTTCCCGTGGTAACCTGAGCATGTTTTAGAACACCTTTATTGGGGTGTAGTTCTTGTGCTGTGCATTTTACCTACTTGAAACTTAGTTATTTTCAGTTTATTCCCAGAGTGGTGTGATCATCATCACATTCTGTTTCAAAACATTTTCATCACAGGCTCCCTGCTAACCACTGTCCTGCTAGCCACACCCACCCCTGTATTGGGCCGTCACTCATCTCCTTGCTGTTGCCTATCCTGAACGTTTCATATGCTCAGAATCATAGAATGTCTGTTCTTTTGTGTCTGCCTTTTCTCACTTAGCATATTGTTTTCAAGGTTCCTCTGTTTTGAATCCTATATCAGCACTTTATTCTTTTTTTTTTAATGGCAGAGTAGCAGTTCTTAATATAAATACAACTTCATTTAATTAATTGGTTGATTTATAATTTGATTTTTTGAAACAGAATCTTACATTGTGACCCAGACTGGCCTTTAACCCACAGCAGTCCTCACACAGTGCTAGGATCAGACCTGAAGCATCAGCCACTGTGCCCTGCTCAACCTCATTTGTTGTTTGTTTTTGGAGACAGGGTCTCATTTTATAGCCCTGGTTAGCCTGGAACTAGATATGTAGACCAGGTTTGTCTTAAACTCAACAGAGATCTGCCTGCCTCTGCCTCTTCTGAGCTAGGATTAAAGGTATAACTACCATTCATGGCTGCTCTACCTCATTTTATTTGTCCGTCAGCTTGGACATTTGGATTGTTTACATTTAGGAGCTAGCATAAATAATGCTGCTATGAACTTACACATGTAAATTATCATTTGACATTTTTTCATTTCTATGAGATGTATATAGTAAAAGATTACTGAGTCATATGCTACCTTTTATGTCTTAACATTTTGAGCAACTCTCTTCCATATAGTGGCATAATTTTGCTTTCCTGCAAACAATTTAGGAGGTTCCACATTCTCTACATCCTCACTAAATTTTGTTTAAATTGTTGATATCAGTATTGTAGCTATCTAAATGGGTGTGAATTGGTATCTCATTTTGGTATTATTTAGCATTCTCCAGATCATTAATGTTGTTAAGCAAGTTTTCATGTGTTCATTGATAATTTCTTTGGAGAAATGTCTATTTAGATATGTGACTACTTTTAAATTGAGTTTTTAATCTTTCATTATTGTCTTAGAAGAGCTCTTTATATATTCTAGACAAAAGTCACTTTAGGAACGTAATTTGATATTATTTTCTACCATCCACTGAGCTATCATCCCACTGTATTAGTAGTGTCTTTTGACACACAAAAGGTTATAACTTTATGTAAGTCACAAAGATTTCCTTCTAACAGGCTTACAGTTTAGCTCTGGGTGGCTTTTCTATTTACTTTTACTTTGTTTGTATATGTAGTCTTTCACTGCGTCTCAAAACTACCCCCAAGACGACATATATAATTTCATATTATTATTTCTAATAATTGATGTTTTAATGTTAAACTATCTTTGCATTTGTTTGGTATATCCTATGTGATCATGGTATATAATTCCTTTTATACGTTATTTGGTTTGCTAGCATTTTATTAAGAATTTGGCCGGGCGGTGGTGGCGCACGCCTTTAATCCCAGCACTTGGGAGGCAGAGCCAGGCGGATCTCTGTGAGTTCGAGGCCAGCCTGGGCTACAGAATGAGTTCTAGGAAAGGTGCAAAGCTACACAGAGAAACCCTGTCTTGAAAAACCAGAAAAAAAAAAACCACAAGAATTTGTATGTATATTTCTAAGGATTGTGTTTGTAGTTTCCTTATAACTTGGCAATTGTGAGCTAGAAAACGTTTACCCTTTTATCTATTCAAAAGTTTGTGAGTGATTGATTTTAATTTTTCTTTAACTGTTTGGTTAACATAACCAATGAAACCATCTTATGCTAGTTGTGTGTGTGTGTGTGTGTGTGTGGTATGTGTATATGGAGGAGCATGTGTATGAAGATGTGTGTGTATTTACAGTGTATTTAAAGTATTACTTTATTTTTGCAAATCTGTTTAATTCTTTGTGTGTGTGCCCGCCTAGCTTGTGGCCATACATTTTGTATTCGCATTCCCACTTCAGTGTTTGAATATTTTCTCTCTTCATTCTTGTTTGCTTTGGGGAGGGTCAGGTTGGCCATTTTTTCAATATATTGTTTTAGCTTTTTATGCACCTGGTTTTAATTTGATTTTCTCTATTGTTTTTCTGCATTCTATTTCATTAATTACAACTTCTATCATTTCTACTCTTTGGCTTTTGATTTAGTTTTCTTTTTTCACCAACCATCTGAAGATGGGAAGTTAGTGTATGGGTTTTATATTCTAATTCTCTTTAATAGGTACATAAATGGTGATAATATCTCAATGAGCAACACTTTTTCTACATCGCCTACATTTTGATGTGTTTACCTTCATTCATCTCATCAAAAGTATACTAGAGGAGGTTTCCCTCCTCCTCCTCCTCCTCCTTCTCCTCCTCCTCTTCCTTCTCCTCTTCCTCCTGTTTAGGCATGAGGAATATTGGGAATAGGACCATGTACATGCTAGCAAGTGCTCTATAACCTGGCCCTGAAAGTATGTTCTGATTTCCTTTGATTTTTCATTTGACCATTGGTTACTTATGAGGGTTTTACTGAATTTCCATATATTTGTGAATTTCTGAAATTTCTTTGTCACTAGCTTCTTATTTCATTGCATTGTAGTGAGAGAATATACTTTCTAGTATTTCAATCCTTGCATTTGTTTTATGACCTAGCACATCTTATCTCTCAGATAATGGCTCTGAGAAAAATGGATATTCTTTTGTTGAGTGAAATTTCCTGTAATTGTCTCTTTTGGCTCATGGTGTTATGTATTTGGTGTTTTGTACTTTGTTTAGAATGTCACTTGCATTCTTTTTTTCAGCTGATGAATTAATCAGTCCTAAAGATATTGACCCTGTCCAGCGCTTTGTCCCACTCCAGAATCAACGTAATGTGAGCATGAGGTACTCCAACCAGGTAAAGAGATGTTTTAATTCTTAATTTAGATTTATCCAAAGACATTTAAATGTTCATTAAAGGGGCAATTTTATTTGAAATGTGATTTTCTTGCTCCTTCTGTGGGAAAGATGTCTTTTTATTTAAGTGGAGAAGGCTATTTGTTGGTAAGTTTTTGTTTTTGTTTTGAGACAGGGTTTCTCTGTGTAGCTTTGTGCCTTTCCTGGAACTCACTCTGTAGACCAGGCTGGCCTCGAACTAACAAAGATCCGCTTGCCTCTGCCTCCCGAGTGCTGGGATTAAAGGTGTGTGTCACCACCGCCCGGCTTATTTTTTGATAAAGAAGTGGAATAAAGTGTCCTTCAGATAAACATTTCCAGATTGAGATGATTCCAGATGTCCTGGATGGGTGTATGTGTTTGCAGGAGGACAGACAACATGTGGTGGAAGGGAGTAGGAGACCATGGAAGAGGGAGGGACCTGTGCTTGATGTCCCCTCCTGTGTCTCCCTGACAGCACTGTGGAACTGGAGAGAGGTGCTCTTAGCACACAGTGCCCTATTCTGGGAAGGGATGGTTTTTAAATTCTTCTGTTTACCAGCTATGGATTTCAACTCTGTTGTGTCAACACACTCTAAAGTGTTTGCAGTATCAGCAAGATTGATGTTGACTTGAGCAAACCCTCAACTATTAAATGATACCAGTAATGAGGACTGTTAAAATGAAAATGTTGTAGGTTGTGGAAACTGCCTGAGGAGAAAGGAAATGAACCTGAGTGTGTGCCTGGGTTTCCAAGCAGTTAGCATGCATTTAATAAAAGTGGCATCAGCACTTGCAGTTGATATGCTTACAAATCCAAATGCTTGTTTTAAAAGATGCACATATGCACACGATTGTGTGCACACACACACAAAATGAATGAATCAATGTTAAATTTTTTAAAAGAACATAAAAGCTTTTGTGTTAATATGAAATAAGACATTTTCAGTGGCCTATTATCCTCTGTAAGGTAAGGATTGGCCTTTTCTTATGCCAGTATGTCATGCCAGTGTACAACCCGTACCATGTGAGGTATTCAGGTTTACTTACGTGTAAAATGAAGAGTCTATCTAACCATATTATCCAGTGCCAGGACTCTGCCATTTTCAGACTGTGTGTGCATTCAGATTGTCATTTACACAGTATTTCACATGCTTGACCTAGTTCTCTAGGATGATAACTATATTAAGCCTTTTCTTAGATTGAAGCATAGGAGAAGACAGAACTACAAAGCATGTAATAGGTATGTGGCTAGCAAAATTACTCATTTTTTTTCTTGACCTATGTAAGGCAGGTTGTAGGCTATCTGTAAATTATAGAACACAATGTACTTATAATTCTTTCTCTCCTACTCAAGAAAGTTTATTCGGAGCACAGGACAGTAAGAGTAAGCTATAGAGAGAGTTTTCTGCTGACTATTTATATCAGAATTGTTTTCTAATATCGCTAGACAGCTATGCATGGCTAGCCCTCTAGATGCAGCCACTTCTTAGCTAAGAGAAGTTCTCTGGGGTGAAGACTGGGGTTCCTGTCCTCCAGCATGAGCTGTGTATCTGTGTAGCACTAAACCGAGTTTCTGAGAGGAAGGGTGAGGATCCCCAACAGAAAACTGCTGGGAACTAGGTTTGTCCTCTTCGTCAGCAGCCTGGCTGTAAAATAAGGTTCTCTTGTGCTGCTTCCTAACTATATGAAACATGCTTGACATGCCTATGGCCATTGCTAGGGGGGAGTACATGAGATATAGGGGTCAGAAATAGCACCAAATATGGAGCCCTCTTTGGTAGAACTGTTCGTTTTGTGGCTAGGTTCTGACTGGCCATGTTGAAATCTGTGAGTAAAGGGTCTCTTGGGATTGACCAAGTGCTTTATGCTCTGCCAGATATTGTAAAAGTAAACAGAGTAGTGAAATACAGATGATGCCTAAAAGGAGAAATATTCCATCACAGGAAGGTATGTCAGGAGGTCTCAGCTTTTCCTCTGGCCTTCACAAGTTACTAGAGAACACAGAACTTGGAACTTACTAGACATGCAGAGAAAGCATACTGAATAAGACCATTAAAGGGACGGTGCCTTGGGCACATTCTGTGGAAACCAAGCTGAGCATCTTTTCCTGTGGAGCCACAAAGATGTACTTAGTAACCCAGCCATGTACAGCAGTGCCACACAAGGATGCTCAAGTACGCTTGCCTGTGACTCCTACTGAGTGTCAGTCATGAACGCATGCACTGGTGCACTGTGAGCCAAGGCTCCAGTGCAGGTAAACACTCCTCCCTTCTCCTGTAAGTCTTTTACATTCTCACAAGTATTTTTCATGATTTGATTTGATTAAATTTGATTAAAATTAGAAGTTTAATCATTTGTCATAGAGTGTGTTCTTGCTATACTATATTGCTGTTTTCAGTATTCTTCACCTTTTTGCTCCAAGTCTTCTGTTGACCTCTTTCAGTCATACTTTAATTTCTACTAGTTCATTCTTACTATTTTTGATATAGTTTTCTTGATACTTTTTAAGTTTTTTTATTGTCAAAATACTTTTAAATGTAAATAGTCAAAATTTTTAGCTATTAATTGAATAAAAAATTAACTCTTTAATTTGAAAGAAATAAAAAGCCCCAGGAAATTTTAGAGAAAGTTCCTAGGAATCTTCCTCAACCCTTCCACAAGAACCGGCAGAGAGCACAGAGTTCCCAGGAACCTGCCCTCAACCTGCTGCAGTGCGAGCAGCCTGCGCACTGCTATTAAACAGCATGAAACACAGAAAGCTAGCCTTGGTGCAAGCTTTTCTTTTACCAGGAGCTCTCACATGTACCTGTAGTGCTACATCTGCTGCATCACGTGAGCTCGGGGTCACGGCACTGCCACCGTGTCACCACAGACTTCCATCCTAGAACCACGCTCGCTTCTTTTCCACAGGTTAGTCCCGGGCAACCACCAATACGCTCTCTCATGATTTAGAATCTTTTTCACTTCAAGAATGTTAAATAGTAGAATATAGCTAATGTTTTGAAGACTGTCTTTTCTCACTAAATGTATAACTTCACACTTCTGTAAGACCAGCCAGTTGTTAAATGTTTGCTCCTTTTCATGGCTGAGCTGTACCCCCACGGGATGACTGTACCATGGTTTGTTTTACCATTGCCTTGTAAAGGACATGCTGTGAAGATTTAACTCTTTCCCTTCTGGTCATTGAACAAGTCCGATTGTTAAACTCTCTATTCAACTACAAATCTGATTAAAGAAATGCTTTTAAGTGGAAGACGCTGCACTGCGCTTGTCTCGCCATCTACCTTCTCGTTGTTCCTTTTTTTCTGCCCTTCAAGAACTTCCTTACGTTATCTACGGATAATGTAAAACAGCCAGCTTTATGGTTTCCATTTGTCAGAGAACATTGTTATGATGTCTTCGGTCCTGAAGTGTAGGCTGTGTTTGTTTGCTTGAGTATAGGACTCCTGGTTGATGGCGTCCACAGTTTCAGATGAGAAATTCTGTCAGTTCACATTTGTGTGAACCCTTGTCTATGTGCTCAGTCTCCTCGGGTCCTTAGGCCCGGCTGATGGAGGAATCTACCTTCTTTGTGGCCCTCGACTCCCTGGAGCAAGGGTTGAGTAGGCTGGCGACTCTGAAGCCACTGTGGGTGCTTTGAACTACCCTCAGACATCAAGTGGTGCAGAACTGTGGGGGCCAACTGGTGCCTCAGTTGAGAAGCTGGGCCTGCACTCTGCATGGGGGGCTCTGTTGTGCTTCCATGTTTTGCTCCTCGAGTGAGAAAGATTGCTTTCTTTTGCTCTCTTGCCTGTGTCTGTCTATCGATTAGGCTACCAGCCTCTCCAGGGCCGAGCCAGGGAGTGCAGGGTCTCAGAATCCCACGTTGCTGGCATTATTCGGACTCTGCGATGTCCGGGGCTCCAGCCTGCTGCCTTACCTGTCCTCAGAGTCTTTTAGAGCCATTTGTCCAGGGGACCTTGTTCCTCCTACCAGGATTTTTTCAATGGATAATTTATGTCTTCTAATGACTAAAGAAGGGTTTTGTGTCCTTGACCTTTCTTCAAAATTATTTTTCAAAACACTAATAATATCATTTTAAAGTATTTTAACAGCTTAACGTATAATTTGTACTTTATACACCTCACTAATTTAAAGTGTGCAATCAATGGTTTTTACACTATACTTGCTAAAATCAATTTTACTTTTTTATTGCTCCAAAAAGAAACCCTGCCCTTTTAGTCATTCTCCTGTCTCAGTGCTCTCCCCTCTCCGCCCTCAACAATTTTGTTTGTACAGTTTTACCTTATTTGTATAATTTGTAGTACTTCCTGACTGGCATTTTTCTCAGCATAACATTTTTAAGATTTATACCTGTGACAGCACTTAATAGCACTTCTTTCCTTTTATTGTAGAACAGCATGCCATTTTAAGTATATGGTATACATTGTCTATGAACACGTGAGTTGTTTCTGAGCTTCGCCATTATGAACAATGCTGCCGCCAGTCTCCGAATGCAGTCACCGTGTTTCATGTGACTTCTTTTTTCTTGGGTTTATGTCTAAGAATGAAATTGCTGGGTCATATGCTACCCAGGTGAACTCTTGGGGAATTGCCAAAATAGTGTAGTCCATGTGACTACACTATTTTGCATTTCCTCTAGTGTACAACAAAGGTTTCCATTTTTTCTGCATCTGTACTAATACTTATTTCCTAGACTTGAGGGTAGTGTGGTGGTGAACTTGTATCTAAATGTTTTGATTCACATTCCCCCATTTACAAAAATTAATCGTATTTTCATATGTTTGCTGGCAGCTGAGTGACAAAACCTCCTTATATGTCCTAGATGATTCCTTTACGCAACTGCAAGCATTTTCTCCCATTTGGTGAACTATCATTCCGCTTTCTCATTGTCATTCAGAGCACATACATTTGAAATTTTGAAGAAGCCTAGTTTTTCTTCAGTTACTTTTTCTTTTAGTGTCAGGTCTAAAAGCCATT